TTAACACTGAATTCTCATCAGAGACAAAAGTTAAATCAGAAGACAATGGAATGACATCTTTAAAGTACCGATAGGAAAAATACTCTTTCAGAAAATGAAAGACATTTCCCAACGCATTTCATGAAGCTAGCATTTACCCTAAGAGCAAAACCAGTCGGATATTATAAGAAAAAAATCCAGACTAATACTCTCAAGAAAATATATGTAACATTCTTAACAAAATGGTAGCAATTGAATCCAGCAATTTATTTAAAAAAAAAAAAAAGATACTACATTATCCTTGGTTTTATCCCAAGAATGCAAGATGATTTTATTATGGAAAAAAAATGAATCAATGTATTTGACTTGATTAACAATAAAGGAGAAAAATCACAATTTCAATAAATGGAGAAAAATATATGACAAAATTCAGTACTGTTGAGACTTCCACTCAGCACTGAGGAGACTTCCTTAACCTGTTGACGGATGTCTGAAGAACCTATAGAACCTATAGTCGATTGGAAAACAGTAAACACATTCCCCGAAAAATCAAGAACAAGGTCAAGGAAGTCTGCTCTCATTTTTACTAAACACTGTGCTAAAGATCCTAGCAAATGCAATAAGGCCAGAAAAAGAAAAAAAGGCATACGGATGAGAAAGTAAAAGGTATAATTGTCTTTACTCACAAACGACATGATTGTATACTTGTAAAATCAGAAAGAATCTATTTTTAAAACGCTACCCCAAAAAAGCGAATTTTAGCAAGATTACCAGAATCAAGTCAATAAGTAAAAATATAAAAACTTTAGTACATACAATGGACTAAATCATACAATGGATTTATCCAAGCAATGGAATAACACTCAGAATTAAAGATAATGAACTACAGAAACACTCAATGACATGGCTAGATCTCAAAAACAATATACTTAAGGAAAGAAGCTAGACACAAAAAATTACATATTGTATAATTCTATTTATATGACATTCTAGAACAGGAAGAACTAAATATTTAGGGACAGAAAGCAGATTGGTGATTTCTTTGGGCTGGGGTTGTGGGGTTGATTAGAAAGAGTCATGGAGGAATTTTCTAGGGTTATAAAACATGTCTATCTTTTCAGTGGTAGTTACTTTAGTGTGTACATTTGTCAAAACTCATTGACCTGTGCACTTAAAATTAGCATACAGGTGGTCTCCCACTTAGGATGGTTCAACTTAAAAGTTTTCAGCTTTACTAATGTGCGAAAGTGATACACATTCAGTAGACACCATACTTCGAATTTTGAATTTTGATCTTTTCCAGGCTAGCCATATGTGTTAGGATACTCTCGTGTTGCCTGGCAGCTCCCTGTCAGCTACACAATCACAAGGGTAAACAACCCGTACTCTACAGTGTATTGACTGTGTTAGATGCTTTTGCCCAACTGTGGGCTAATGTAAGTATTCAGAGCACATTTAAGGTAGGCTAGGCTAAGCTATGAGGTTCAGGAGCTTAGGCGCATTTAAATGCATTTTCAACTAATGGTATTTTCAACTTACAATGGGTTTATTGAGGTGTAACTCCATTTGTACATTGAAGAGCATCTCTATTTAACTGTTTGTAAACTATACCTTAATAGAGTTTTTTTTTTAAGTTAATTGAAAATGTAGATATAATGTCTAAGCAAAAATAACCGTAACGATTTGAAGTGCGGATGACTAATTTATTTGAAGCATTTAGAGAGGTGTCGATCCGCATCCTGCCTTCAGCACCCTTTGACACTCTGGGGACGATGGCAAGAACACCAGGTGGGGGTGGGGGTGGGGGAGTGGAGTTGGGGGCGGTGCAGTAGGTCTAGAGGTAAGTGGAAAGAGAACCTAAGCACATGTTTGTTCCTTTGTGATTAACTCATTGTTGACCATGTGCCAGCCAGTGTGCTACAGAAAATTCCCCGTTGAGTCCCTTTAGCAGCCCTGGTCACTGAGTCCCTCTATGAGACCCTCTTTCTGGAAAGGAGGATCATACAGCCGGGAACTCCAAACGAGTCTTTCTCTCCCTCCTCTTTGACTGGAACAATTCGAATGTGCTCTGACCATGTTACCAGTTGAATAATTTGAATAATACATGCAGTTATGTTCTTCCGATATGTCTATAGTCTTCTTAGAAACATTATTTTGAGAGTCATCTATACAGCAAATATGTGTTAGCTATCTACTGTGTGCCAGAAACTGTGCTTGTGCCTGAAAATAAAACAGACATGCTCCCTGCCATGCTCTCTGGAACCTTCTACCTAACAGATGGTGGGTGAAAAATTACTGGGTTGAATTCGGAAGACCCGGTTCTCATCCTGATCCTGCCCTGCACTTGCCCAGTGAGTCTGAACAAGTCACTTAGTCTCTCCGGGCTTCGCTTTCCCCATCTTTCAAATTTCAGCTTTAAGAATTTTAAGTAGTCTCATAATAATGTCGAGCTTGATAGCGACTGTCACTATCCACTGCTAAACGGACTGTGACTTTATTGGAGCTTGCGTGTGTGATGGACACAAGACAGTGAGGAGCAGAGGGCAGTGCCACACAGCTCATGGCACAGTGACAGCATCTGTCCATTCCAGAGCCCTTTTATTAAAGCAGGATGCTCACCCTTGGTGGCGCATCAGAATCATCTGACGAGTTTAAAAAATTCTCAGTGCCGCGGCGTCACCTCAGACCAGTTAAATTAGAATCTCATGGAGGTGGACCCGGCGTCATTCACTTTAGATACATTTAATCATCTACTTATTTGTTCTTTATACCTCTTACCGTTTGTCCCCCCGCCACCAAGGCAATAGCTCTTTGGGATTTGACACATAGCGTTGAATTTGAGTATAGCATTTTGATAGCAGGTAATGTTGCTCCGTGTATTTAACAACGCTGCCGTCAGGCAAGACAGGACACTAGAGTGGAACCCAAGGCATATCTGGACCCATGGATCACCCTGTATTTCTATCATCTAGGAAAGGGTTTTAGATTCTCCCTTGTCTGTCAATACCAGCATTGCTCCTTAACTCAATTCATGCGTGCATTCATCCAATATTTATTGAATGTCTGCTCTGTGCCAGGAACGGTGTCCTGGAGACTGTGGATATTAACCCAATGGAGGGAATAGCACATGCAAAGTCCCTGTGGCAGAAAAGAGCTTGGCCGGTCAGATCACGTGGCTGGAGCAGAAGGCGTGCCAGCGGCATGCAGGGCGAGGAGGCTGGCGATGTGGGAAAGGGCCGTTCCGCCCCACACACTGTGGGCAGAGCTGTGCTGCAGAGGGCGTGGGAGGCGGTCACTCTCTGGGTGTTGCTTCCAAACTCGGTGACTTTCAGCAACATGCTGAGGGACTGACTGTTTTTAAGGCCACAGTAAAAAGACATTCGGGAAACCAGTATGAGCGCACGGTCATGAGTCATATAGAGGGGGTAACTTACCCAAGAGTGGCGCGTTTTTATTTGGTTTCACGCTGGCTCCGCCCTGGGGTTGTGCTGCCCGATGACAGTACCCGGTATGTACTGAGTGCTAGGACTGTGCCAGGCACTATCGTAAGCTCTTTATTGCCTCATTGAATCTCCATTACCAGCCTATGAGATGCGAACTGTGGCTGCTCCTTTATTTTGGATGGACGCAGAGAGATTAATAACTTGGCCTTGGTCACACAGCTGCCAGGGGGTAAAACTAGAAGTTGAACCCAGGCAGCTCTTTCTGGATGGCCACTTGGTCGTGGTGCTCTGCTGATACTGGACCACGATGCTGGTTCTGCTGTGGCTTGTGTTGAAGTGTTTTATCTTTATTCCGAGAAAATGGGAACCGTGATGAAGTTTCATGAAGGTGGTAATGTGGTCAGAGGACCTTTCCCCTCAGCTTACACAAATAATAGATGGTCGACAAAGACATCGTCTGCCCTGTGAGGTGATGTACCATCGTAGACTAGTCCACGAAACCAAAAGACAAAGGAAACAGTAACAGCCAGTCGAAATTTCAGGAGAACTTTAGGTATATCATAGGTTATAACATAATTAGTTTTTGAGGCTGATGGAATGAATTCACTTGCTGTATGTGCTGTCAGAAAATTGTCCTGCCCCAGGATACCTTCTTGGAAACAGGACTCGGGTGTTTGCCTAGATTCTTGTGACGCCTGGATGCAAACTCGCACACACTGTACTCCCTGGGGTGGAGTGCTCTGGAAAGTAAGTGTATGGAAAATTATATGGAAATTGCGGTCTTATGTATTCAAGCAGCCTCTGTATAATTCAGGGAAATGTGTAAGTTGCCAAGAGCCTTGGGTTCATCTGGAATCATTATCGTTGCCACCATCAGCGTCAAGTACGGTGTTTTAATGGTCTGTGATTACATGGTATTTGGTACCTGGACCTATATAAATAAGAGGGATATAGATTCTCTTTTAACCGATATGCTGAAATCGTCCGAAGCCAAATCAACATTGGGTGAGTATCTATTCTCTGTGTAGCAGTATCTCAATTTAATCCTCAGAATGCTGAGTCAATTATAGGTGCGGGTCCTTTGTTTCCATTCTAAGGGTCACAGTTTTTATAGATAAGGAAACGGAGACCTAGGTAGCCTTAATGTCTCTCAGGAGCCAGGAAGAGGGTTTAGGGTTTGATCCAAAACCTTCTTGGCTCCAAAGCTGGTGCTCTTGGCTTCTCCCTACAAAAGCATGTCAGTGAGAGTTTCTGCCCGTCGTCCGTGACACATTGGCCAGAGTAAAGAAAGGATCCTATTTTTTGCAGACCCAGACATGAAAGTCTGGCTGTCAGTTGGCTGCAAAAACTCAGATGTTGGCTGAAGAAGCAATATTATACACAGTCTTTTGCTCCATTCCCTTTTTCATTGAAATAAAGAAAGATTCAGCTGCGGGCTGTTTATCCAAACCCACTTCTGAAGACTGCCAGGCGCTCAGTCACCGCAACGTCAGTCAGGCAGAGCCAATTGAGGTTGATTTCTTTTGTTCAACAGCTGCAGAACCAGGAGCTGCTGAGGGCAATGATGAAGAAGGCTGAGCTGGAAATTAATGGCAAAGTGATTGAAACGATGAAGAGACTGGAGGATCCTGTGCAACGACAGCGCGTCCTGGTGGAGCAAGAGAGGCAGAAATACCTGCACGAGGAGGAGAGGATCGTCAAGAAGTTATGGTGAGTGCTGGTCGCTTGTTGCACGTCCCGCCGTTTGACCAGGAAAGAAATCCTCTCTTTGTCAATGAGGAGGCCTTTCTAGATGGCGCCTCTCTGGATGCTGCTCTCGCCCTCTCTCTTTATTGAGCACCTACTATGTACCAGTTAGCATTCTGCTGGTTCTGGGTATCCATGGACGCTTAGCGCCCCTCCATGTAGGCCCAAGAAATACGGCCATCCTCAGGCGAGTGAGCTGGTCTCTTTAAAAGCTGGAGCATCCCTGTCTTTTGGAGGGCTCAAAATGAAAAGGAGCAAATGGCAAAACCCAATGATAAACGGGAAGCCTGCATTTAATCTCAATAAATTAAAATTAATAGCCCAAACAACACAGCGCTAAAATTATCTTCCTGTTGTTCAACTATAGTTAAAATTGCAAAGGAAGAATTTAAATGTAAAGTAGGCCCGATCCAGAATGAAAGATGCTTCCTTGAGCATTACCAATCTTCTCCGTGAGGTTCTCATTGAAAGCATCTATCAAGTCCCTCTATTGAAACGAGCAGAGTTTTATTACTCCCCAGTCGCTAGGGCAGGAACATCTTTTACATTAATGTATGTTGTGTTATGCAATGGAGATTTATCATAGAACTATTTCACCTGTTAGTACAATGAATAGTAATTTTTGCAGCTTCTAGTGTTGGCAATTCTCTCATTTCTTGAAAAGCTTCAGTCTTCCAAGTTGGAATGTAAGGGAGCAAGTTTCAAATTCTTTTCATGACCAGAATTCCCGAAAGTCTCCATAATGGAAAATACTGTGCTCTATCTCCTAGTGGATATTCGAGCTGGTGCTTATATTACCTCGGTGCCAACCCAGTACATCTGATTATAATTAGAATGTCCCTCTCAGTAACAATCTAGAGGGAAAAAGTCAATTTGAGTTATTATTTTCCTAAAAAATTAGACTTGACCACAGTTTGACATCTCAAAATATTTTATTTAGATCATGCATTTTTAGACAGTTAATCACCCACCAAGAGGTAGTAAGGCTATTCTTTGTCTAAAATGTTTTTGTGACAGCCCAATTATCAATTATCAAGACGACTTATCCTGAAATAAGTTATTCTTCATATGTCCCCAGGTCACACACAGTACCACGTGCATAGTTGGGCCTCACCAAAAGTTTGTTAAACTGAGCTGAGATGGTCTTGCAGACAGGTGTGATTTCATCAGGTGAGGCTAGACGGGGGGGCCTCCCAGGCAGAGGAACCCTATGAACCAATGAGTCTCAGGACCAGGAAGGCATAGGACGTGCTTGGGTTGAGTGCAAGATACTAGTCATGCCTCATATTTGGGTTGCGCCCTTCCCTTTGCATAGAGCCTGCCTATTTCTTAGACTATATTCATGCCCGGCATATCTGTTTGACATCGGTCTGGTCCGTGTTTGCCAAGATTGGTAGACCATGTAATAGAGACCTGGATTTATGGCTTTCATCAAAGTTCTTGGGTCCAACTCCAGATCAAGAATTTCACAGGATGGAGCTTAGGAATGTGCATTTTACAAACCTACATGGCAGATTCTAAAGCATCTTCACATTTGAGAGTTACTATTGGCCTGGTGAGGAAGTCACTGAAGCTTTTCTGATCAAAGAAGTAGCCAAGTCAGCTGTATTTCAGTTAGGGCCCTCTGGCCTTCATGTACAGGACTGGTTGATGGGCAAAGAGATTGGTGTTTAGGAAACCATATTGGGCTCAACTATAGCAGTCCAGACAAAAATCAATAAGGCCTGAGTCAAACAGTAGAAATAGGAATGGGGAAAGCAATCGAATGCAAAATGGACTGATTGGATGGATCGAGTGATGAAAAAAAAACATGGATTATAAAAGGCAGCCGGAAATTTCAACTCTGGAATGTTAGGAAAACAATTGTATCTCTCTTTTCCCCTTTTCCTCCTCTATAAGATGATGTACTTTTAAAAGTTGTCCTCCTGCCTCTCTGCCCTTACACACACACACACACACACACACACACATACACACACACACACACGAAAATGAGTTCCCTTGGGGATTATGTTAGCATAAGTTGCTGGTGAGCCATTCAGATGGCAGAGAAATAAAATTAGATCTAGAACTATGGAGAGAAATTGGATCAAGATAATTTCTCTTTGGTGGCTTTCTCCATGGAAATAATAGTTGGGCTTCTCATCAGTCAAATGAAATGCATTTCAACAAATTAATGTTTCTTTTTAACCAAGGTAGAATGAAAAGTGACTTCAACAAAGAGAGCGAATTTACCTATAATCCATAGCATCTGTGAACATTTGACATTCTTTGGAGCCGAGTTTATAACTCAAAAGTCATATTGACTACTGTAATATTAAACATTTATTTTCAGCATTCATTGTAGCTCCATGGTCTCTTTTACATTTTGAATGAACAAATTTTATTTGACTGCTTTATCTGTAATAGAAGTATATGGGGAGAAGTAAAATTGTTGCGTGCAATAACATCCGTGCACATTTGTATGTATTCCCTGATCAACACAGGGAAAACTGACATTTAAGGGTCTACTGTGTGCAGGGTTATGAAATCCAAGAGTCATGCTGTGTAGAAGATTAAAATAGAAGTTTAGGCTGACTGACTTTGAGTCAGATGACAGTTCCTTGGAGTATTAATTGCACCTTGGCTGTTTCGGAGGTTGTTGATGGAACCATGATAGCATTTGGGTCTTAGCTCTTTCATCAAAGCATAGAGGACTGGACAGTGTGTCCAGTCTCCACATTAAAATAATTCTGTGTGGTTTCGAAATAGAAAAAAACGTTTGCACACAAAGGTACCATGTTTAGAACTCTTATGAGAGATGGCACCGATTCGCTCCACCTGAGGGCCGCAGGAGCTGCACCTTTCCATAGTTTGTAAGTGTGGTCAGTGAGCAGATGGGCTTTCCATTCTGGTCCTGAAGTTGCATCATTTTGTCTGAAAGGGTCATGGGCAATTTTGGTCCATTTTCTGTAACAGAATGAAAGACATCAGCGAAAATTTCATCCTGCTGCTTGGGAGTGGATGGATTTGTTGTTTGTCCCGTGGTCCTTGTTGAACATATGTGCCATCCTGCCCGAAGCCCTCCCGCAGCTGCCATGCCATCCACAACTTCATCCACTTGCCCACCTGATGGGAAGGGTCATGATGCTCCATCTTTTTGCAGATCCCCTGCCTTCCTTTTTTCTCTTCCTGCTGCCTGCTCCAAGGGACTCAGGCTCCAGCCGCGGAATAGCTGTTCACTTACTGCCACCTAGTGGGTCTCCATCTCCTTAAGCTCTTTTTCCTGTTCTTTAAGAGGGGTTTTCCTGTTGGATTTACAGGCAAACCAAAATGATACAAACATGTGTTTAGGAAGGGGTTATTAATGTGCCCAGGAGACATGATGCTTGTTTGTTTGTTTCTGAAGTAGAAAACCTTAATTTCATTTCATTTTATTGGAACTGGCAGTACCCTGTGATCTCGTGTGTGTGTGATCATTTCTTCTCTTTGTAGCTTGGAAAGTCAGTCCATATTGATGGGATAATCAGTATAAATCAGAGGTTCAATTAAGGGCAAGTTTGCTTCCCTCTTCTCCTCAAGGACATTTAATAATGCCTAGAGTCATTATTGTTTGTCACAAGGTTGGGGGGGAGTGCTACTGGCATCTCGTGCATAGAAACCAGGGGTGCTGCCAAACACCCTATAATGCACAGGACAGGCCCCCACTAAAAAGAATCATCTGGTCCAGAACGTCAAGTGCCAAGGCTGAGAAGCCTGACATCTGCTCATTTTGTTCCCCTGCAGCATACACAGCACATTCTCTCTCCCTCCCTCTCCTCTGACATGTCACAAAGTTCCTACACCCCTCCTTTAGTTGGCATCAACACCACTGAAAATGAAGAGTGGGTCCTTTGTCAGCCAGTTGTCATCTTCCTTCTGGCCGACCTTGGCCTCCCCAGGGACAGGCCCTGGAAAAATTTCCCCGCACCCACCTGATCGCTCAGCAGAATATTTTAAGCCAAACCAAGCTACTCCTTTAAATGTGGTCCCACCATCTACATGGAAGGTGAGGTGGGGGGCTGGGACACAGTACATAGCAGGAGACCTGATGGGCCCTTTGCTGCTGCCCCTGTCCTGTTGGAGGACCTCAGTGTTCACTGCCATCTCTGGTCTGCTCACTCCCCAGTGAGCTGGAAGACTTCGTGGAAGACTTGAAGAAGGACTCTGCATCGGCTGGCCGAGCGGTTACCCTGAAGGACGTGGAAGATGGGGCTTTCCTCCTGCGACAGGTGGGAGAAGCTGTGGCGTCCTTGAAAGGTGAGCAGCTTCCTCCTCGAAGGAAGAAGGCGAGGCGCATTTCCTGTGTCCCACAGTGAGGGATTCATGCACGCATGAATGCACGCAAGTGTTCATTGAACTCCTACCCGTGTCTGGCACTGTTCTGGGCACTTGGGATCCATCACCGAACAAAGGACAGGCCAACGTCCCTGTCCTCTTGTAGCTTATGTTGTAGTGGGTGCTGTAAGATTTAGGCCTAAATGACACCAATAACAGTTTCTCCTCACTGGGCTCTTATGCTGCACCAGGCACCTGCGCCAAATCCATTACAGACAACCCGAAGGGACAGTTGACCTTATTCCAAATATACAAACAGGAAGTGAGGTCGTGAGGAGCTCTGTCCTTGCCCAGGGTCACCTTGAGCCCGTCTCTGTCTGACACACGTCTGTCGCTTGAAGGTGTGTGAGCGGCACTGCGGCTGGCGAACCCCGCGCACACAACCCTGCCCAGTCCCGGGTGCGGGGTGGGGGCTCGCTGTCCTGGCTTCTTCTCCTACGACTCACCCACTGTTCTTGGCCGGCAGGAGAATTCCCAACCCTGCAGAACAAGATGCGGGCCATCCTGCGCATAGAGGTGGAGGCCGTGCGGTTTCTGAAGGAGGAGCCGCACAGGCTGGACAGTCTCCTGCAGAGAGTGCGAAGCATGACCGACACGCTGACCATGTTGCGGAGGTGACCGGGCTCCCCGTGGGGCGGGCGGGGGGGAGGGGTTCAGAAGGTTGGGGGATCTACATTGTGGACTCGCAGGCTTCCTCCGCGCTCCTGGGACCTGTCTCCATCACTGTGACGTGTCACATCTTATTTCCAGTGTCTTGAGAAGCTGTGGCTCTTTCCTACCTTGAACTTGTTCTGTAATGCAACTCGAGGTCCTGATTCTTCTACGCAGACTTGCTGCATTTGGCCCATGCTAGGGCTTAAAATTTACTAGTAAACGCAGTAAACATTTTTAAAGAATCATTTGGAGGTGGTTCTTTTCAAGAACATTTGAGGTTGAAGAATGAGGCAAAATATATTATTAGCCTCTTTCACTTCAGGGGCATAGATGACTTCAGTTAGAAGAAAATGAGTGGAAATAAATAAAGCATTTTTGAATTACCTACTGAAAGAGTATCTGAGAGATTGTTGGTCTCACCTAGGAAAGATAAATGAATCCCCTTGAGTGGCACTGACGTGTCACCCTGACCTGCCCATAAAAGAGGGTCACAGTGGAGGAAAGACTGAAAGAAATCACTGACTCATCCATGACTTTCATTGAAAAGAAAATTCTTGACATAAAAAGTGCTGAAATATTTGCATGCAGAATTTGTGTTACCAGAAGCACCTTTATAAATGACATCTCATACCAGCATACACAGCACTGCCTTTGGTTGACAATTTGATCTCTTTCTTCTCAACATAGTCATAACAATGGCTTCTTATCTGAGAGCACTTTCCACATATCCGGCATTGCACTAAGCCCTTTACAAATATTAGCTCATTTGATCCTAATTAAAAACCCCAAGGGCAGGTGTGGTTATTCCCCTCGTAGAGGTAAAATCTGAAGTTTGGGGTGGTTCGCATCAGGTCAGAGGCGGGGCTGGGCTATGAACGGATAGTTTGACTCCAGAGATCAGAGTTGGTTCTGCTCTCCCAGCCAGGCAATCAGTAATATTTGGACATTCTGCCTGTTCAGCCCTGGTCTTGGGTATTAAAATATAGTAGAGACGAATAGGACCCCTGCCCTTATAAAACTTCCTCTCTCACATGGGAAATAGACACAAATACCAAAAATAAACCGTTTCCCAACCGTGGCAGTCCCTGAGTTTTCGGTTTTTTACTAGAACTAGAAAACTGCAGAGACATTACCCTTCAGATCTTGGACCAAATTTGAGAGCAGATCACAAACAGAACTAACATGAAAGACAGTTTCTTGGGAGAATTTTAATCGCCAACCATAATCATCTGATCAGATTAATAAGAGAACTATATTAACTATGTAGGTGACTTTCAGACAAATTATTAGCCATGAGAGCAAGAGAGATTTTTCTAGTAACGGCGACCTCATGAAAGAGCCTCTTTTGAGATGAAAACTCCATAGAGCAACCATATCGTGACCTGCATAAGGTCCAGAATGCCAGAGGAATTCTAAATTCAAACAACAGCCCCTTCCTGTAGAGACCACATCTGACTGAGTACAGGAAGAAGTTTTATCTGAATTACATTTTCTCATAGGTTCATTCATTTTAAATCGCCGGAGTGAACTTTTTTCTTCTAGTAGGATAAAAATCTGGTAAAAGAATTCTTCATTACTCTCTTCACTAAATGTGGTAACCCATCCGCATTGCCTAAAACAAACCGTGCTTGTTAAGTGGAGATGGATAGCAAGCTGGCAGGTAGCACGATCCCATTCCCCCCTCTCTTCCCTGAAAAACAGTTAAAAGAACATTTTAGAGCCAGTACAAAGTGTCGAAGCTCAGTATTTGCCTTTCTCTCTAGGGAATGCAAGTTCTAAAAAAAGATGGGAGTGTGCTTTTTGAATGTTATAGGAGTTTTTTGTCTCATAAATGCTCAGTGGCAAGAACGATAGATAAAGCCAGTTAAGAAACTTTCAAAATAAAAGGCATTGAGCTGCCATTGAGTTGCCTATCATAAGCCTTCACACTGTTAATTTTTTATTGGTATCTTATGTGTGTGATGTGCTGTACTTGGCACTGTGGAAGAGGCAATGAAGAGGGTAGGAATGTGCCCGCCCCCGCCCCCCACCCCAAGGACGTGTATGTCCTGACTCCATGGCAGAGAAGATAAAGCAGGCGACAGTCACAGTTCGGAGTAACTTAGCGGCCTGAGAAGATGCTGCAATAAATGTTTTTGTACGGGTTGAATTTGAGGTGCTAGAAGGATATCTAAACACAGCTGCCCACTATGCGCTTAGTAATGTGGACTGAAGTTCACGACACAGAGGAGCGTCCCTGCCTCACTGGGAGGGAAGATCAGGGGGTTTAGAATTGGAAGTCGCCTTCGTGAAGGTGATCACAGAAAACAAAAGATGGCTATGGTGGGATAAGAGAGAAAGGAGGCAACAGGTCCTTGCAGATCCTTGGGGATCGAGGGGGCGGGTAGGTAAGATAAACAGCAAAAGCAACAGAAGTGAGCAGCAGAGGAGGGTCATAGAACGCAGCCTTTTTTATCAAATCGAAAAGAGAGAATGTTTTAATAAGAAGGGAATGAGAGACTAATTAAAAGTTATAGGTCAAGGTACACACTGTCTTCTATATCACTTTACGTCGATTCCAACCACCACCCCCGAGGAAGGCATCGCAAGCCGTGATCATCGTTATCAGCAGCATCATTATTGTTACATTCTATAAAAAGGTATCTGAGCCTCCAGAGGTGACATTCCTGGCATTATACCACCACAACATGGTAGACCTGATATTCAGACACAGGTCTGTCTGACTCCAAAGGCTGCACTGTGGGTGGAAATAGCAAAATAGCATCAAATGGCAGAGGACTCCTCATCCCTGGTGACTTTGCAGAAAGCTTGGTCAAGTCCAGGGTGGGGCGAGGGGAGCCAGATTGCGCTAGGCCGAGCCACAGGAAGAGCAAGCAGAAGGGATGGGAATTTAAACTACCCTCCCGAGACGCCTGGCAGTGAAAGGAAGAGAGCGTGGAGGGTTTAGGAAGCTTTGGGGGTCAGAAGCGAGCATCTGTGAGAGCTCTCCAGGCCGGGGCCAGGTGCAAGAGGTGTCGTTAGAACCATGTGTTCACTTCACGCTGCCACCACCACCCACACAGTGACAGAATCACGTCAGGGAGGGCACGACAGTGCTAGTGGACAGAGAAAAACAGACCATCTCCTGAGGAAAGGACAGAAAGCAGCTGCCAGCCATAACTAGGAGGTAATTCAAGGGTGCTGGGAAGTTGCCATGGAAACCCTCGACTCCGAGCCGCTACGGAGTTTTGGAATGTTTTAATTTCGTAGCAAAATCTTGCCTGGCTTTGGGATGACACTGCGTTCAAGTCTACCCTAATGATCAAATGGAAGTTACCTGTTTTAATCGTTAACGCTGCTGTGCGTGCTTTCTCCTAGACATGTCACCGATGGGCTCTTGAAAGGGACAGATGCAGCCCAGGCCGCACAGTATGTGGCCATGGAAAAGGCCACCGCCGCGGAAGTCCTGAAGAACCAGGAAGAGGCATCCCACGCCTCAGGCCAGCCCCTCCACGCCCCGAGCGGGAGAGACGTGAAGTCAGAAGTGGTGCCCTTGGCGGTTCACCATGCACAGAGCTCCCCCGTGGTCATCCAGCCCTCCCAGCTCTCCTCCGCCCTCCTGAGCCCTGCCCAGCACTTGTCTGGGGGCACTGGTCCTCACCCAGCCAGCCCTCCTGCTGTCCCACAGGAAGTGACCTCAGCTCTGCCGGCAGCACAGGCTCCTCCGTCCCCACAGACGCCCATGAACGGTTCCACCATGCAGAGCTTGTTCATTGAAGAAATCCACAGTGTGAGCGCCAAGAACAGGGCAGTGTTGATTGAGGTAGAGTCCTATTTCTATTTTTCATGACCCCGTAAAGGAATGTGACATATAGTCCTTTTCCTCCAAGAGTTTACAGTCCGCTTGTAGAGATAATTCATATGTGTGTCAGTTATATTTTATCAAAAAATATATATATACATGCGTGTATATATATATACACATATATACATGTTTATATATATATACACATATATAAAAGAATATATATACACGTTTATATATATATATACGTATATATATAAAAGAAAGATTTCTAAAACTGTAAGTGGGTTTCAATGGCCAGATTAAGAGAAGGCCATCAGATTTCAGAGAAGGGTGAGACGCTTCACCTAGGAGAAGCTGAGGTGAAGGTGTGCTGGTAACTGTTTAACAACCAGCTCTCCGGTGGGAAAAGCCCTGATTTGTAGCATTTGCCAGTCTCCGTAGTGTAAAGACTGCCACCATGATTGATTTCGAGTGACAACATGACATCACTGAAGATGCATCTGGCAAGATAATGTGAGAGCAGCTCTCCTGAGCCCGTGGGAGCTGGCTCACGCACGCCACCAGGGAGGGTTTGCCACTGATCTTGAAAAGTAAGAGACTCTGGGTAAGCAGAGAAGGGTGGCAGGGGCATTCTAGGATAGAGGATGTTGGAGCAAAGGCTGGGACCGTAAGGAAACCTGCTTAACTGGAGCAAGAAAGAGGAGATAAGGCTGGCAGGATAGGCCAGAACCTGATCTTGGAGAGCTTGAAAACCAGCCCAAGATGTTTAAAGTGTATCGTGTAGGTATCAGAGAAATGCTGCAGTGATAAAAATGGCATCTTCAGAAAATAAATCTGGACACAACATACAGAATTGCTTGAGGTAGGGGTTGGGGGGTCTAGAATTAAGGGTATTGGATGGAAAGTTATCACTTGTAGTCTCAGGATGGGAGGCGGAGGCAGCCACACATGGAAGGAGAAAGCTGGGTGTTAAGGTCAACACATCGAGAGAAAGCAAGCTATGTTTTTAAGTGTTCTTTTTGTCAAGAACTGGTGTCAGGGCTCAGGCAGCGCATTTAGCTTCCCTAGCTCTCTTTTCTCTTATCTTCAGTGTTTTCTGCACCCATTATGTATCCCCAGCAACCTGTACCTTAACCATCCCTGCCTCCCTTGCAACTCAGCAGTAGATAACCCAGGTTTCAAGAGATGACCTCTTAAAACTGCTATGGTCACAGTCATGGCAACAGGGCCTCCGAACACAAGGTAGCTGCTCTCTGCTCTGTGCCCCTAATCTCCATCAGCTATTTACAAAACGATATCGTGGTTCGGGGTGGTGGGGTGTGGGGAGGCTGTGATTGGCAAATGATGACAATGCATCAGGTCGTGCTTATGGGGTGGAATAGAGAACTGAAAACACATTCTGCCACTTTAAACATCCCCGTATTTAAAGGATGTCAATGGGACAACTCTTTTATTTTATAGAACCCAAGGAACACAGTTATCATTGTTATGTGTGTATTTAAGTTATGAGTCATCTCCGACTACACCCCGACTCACAGGAAGAGGCCCTTTCTGCCAGCTCTGCCACTGACGAATGAGGCGATCACCATTCACATCATAAAGCTCCAGTAGGGACCAGGTCCTCACGGGCTCTGGGGTAGGCAGTGAACAGAGTTGACAAACTGCATGCCCTTGAGAAACTTACCTGCTTGTAGGTAGAGACAGAGAACAAGTACGTGCCAGGTGATAATAAACACTAGGAAGGAAAAATAAAGGAGGGTAAAGATGGCGTGATACCGGTGGCTATTATTTATATACAGTGACCCCTTCACCCCACGGGGTCCCAGTGTTCTCGTGTGTACACGTGTTGGCTCTGTGACCTGCTGGTTCGTTTCCAGTTCTTACATTATGGAGTTCCACTAATTCTGGCTCTGATTTCCACACTGCCCTCCTGGCATGACCCATGTGCCATCTCAGAGTCACAGACAGATAGATGTACTTTGAAAAAATGTACAGACATTTAAAATTCCATTTTACATATTCCTTCCTATCATAGAATATGATTCAGCTTAGAAGTCATCTCAATTACTGCCTCCCATTTTCTAGGTAAGAAAACGTGGCCCAGTGCCCAGATAGCAAGTCTTCGACAGAAGTGGAACTCAGACAGGATTGTTTCTGCCTAGAACATTATCTCTACGATGAAAACTCAATTCAGAAAACAAAACCTTGGTTATGGATTCTTACCTTAGAAAGCGTAACCCTGTGTCCCTTTTTATTTACTGTTGGTGGCAGTGTGTATGTAGTAAGGGCTCAGTCATCATTTCATGAGTGACTTTGGGTTTCTGAGCGTGTTTCTCCGTGAAGGAGCATCACTTGGGCTTAAATGCAGCCCGCTTCGCTAAGGAGGATGTGGAGACAGCACACGGTCAGGTTCGTCTGTTGTGCAGGGTGTCTTCAGCCAGGAACCCGGAGCTTTATTTTACCAACACGTTAACCGCGTTACACCTCCTCCCTCCCACCGGAAACCTCTAAATGATAAATTAGTGGTTCTGTCTGGTTTTTAACCTTTCTTTGCTTGCTGCTTTCTTTCAGAAAGCAGAGAGGAAGTGGGAAGAGAAAAGACAAAATCTGGACCACTATAATGGCAAAGAGTTTGAGAAGCTCCTGGAAGAAGCTCAGGCCAATATCATGAAGTCAATTCCAAACCTGGAGATGCCACCCGCCTCGGGCCCACAGCTGAAGGCCGATGCTCCCATGGACAAGCTGGAACTTTCAGGTGAGGTACTGACGGCGCTGTGCACCTGGCTGCCACCCACGTGAGCCCGCGCTGGCCAACAAGACCAACCTCTCACTTCTTAAAGATCTCACACAAATTTCTCAGGTCTCCCAAGGGCCTCACTGCTTTTTAACTGTAAGCATAGTAGGGGAACTGTTCTGCATTAAGATACTAGAACAATGCCCAATAAGGGAAATTTTAGATTCCCAGCTTCTGCATTTCCTATGAATTTATGACAGACAGTTCACAGCACCAGCTGGGAGAATATGAGGCCTGCATTTAAAGCGAGAGCTTTCCATACACTGCAGAAAGAAAATGCCAACTTTTATGAGCTCCCAGGGGGATATTAGATCATAAGGTAAAATTGCGTTTTTATATCAAAATTATTGAATTGCATATTTAACCAACTAAACTACGGAAGTTAAGCAACGTGTCGACGGTAATATAAAATAAGTGTTAAAAAAAACCTCAACCTACTAAATCCCAACCGATTACAATCCATGTGCTTTATTCCGATATTAAAATTATGTACAGCGACGTCATTTCACTTGTGTCCCAGTGTCTCCCAGAGTCACATTCATTGAGTCTTTGTCCAGCAACTACCGTTAATTGGAAAAGGAATTGCCATCTTGATTTGTGTGTCCAGAAACGTGACAGTGGAGACAATTTATAACCACGGTGTAACCCCTATAACACACTGCGGGTTTTCATTCCACAAAGCCGCTCTAAAACTCCACGCCCTGAAACTCGCCCCCTCAGTCTGTGCTAAGAGGCGTTTCCTACCTCCTTCCCTGCCGGCCAGCTGTGTGAGGCCTGTCCAGGGCCCCTTGGAGGGTCGGGCACCAAGGCCCGGGGACAGACGGGCCTTTTGGGAGGGGCGGGTCTTCCCTCACAAAGATGGCTTTTCTCCTGAAGTCCCGCTGGAGAACTTCTGATGGACAAAATGATTTACCTCATTATGTCGCTGTCTTGTCTCATCCAGCTCTCCCCGTTGAGTTTTGTCCTATAGTCCCCTAATGTTTTAGGATTACAAATCAATTATAAATTTAGAGTTATAAATGATTGTGTAATTGTTCCTTCTTATAAAATGTAGCGATATATTTTGTTAATCTCATTTGGGCTTTTTATTCTTTTGGATTAAAAAATTTGGATAAATTCATCTTTAAATTATTCTCCCCAAATATTTTTTACTCAGCTAAAATATTATTTATTGTTGTTTTTTTCCTTTTTTAACACATGGCCTGATTTTTTGTCGGAAACAGTCTACTAATGCATAGGCCACTAGAAATGTATAAGGGTATTGTCCATTATCTGTGAACATTGGTTTCTGTTATTTTTATTTATTTGTCATGGATGTTATTGTTTTTATTTTTGTTTACCAATGACGTAAAATTCTAAGCTTGGGGTTTCAAAAAATCATTCGAATTTTATTTATGTGAATTTCTTGACAGGTCAGACCAGGGTGGAAGCTCCCAAAAAAAATCTATGAAAAATGTTGGGGATTGTGGCCTCAGTCAATGTTAAAGCAAAAATATTCACAAAGACATGTGTTAAAAATAGCAAGGAGGACTTTATGCGAGACAATTGCAATGGGGGAGAGAAACTGAACTCAGCTCCAAATGTAGCAGGGTAGGGGGATTCTTGCTACAGGCAGGCCAAGGACTTAGATATCAAGGGTAGGACATGAGAATTTATCAGATATCCAGAATGGGAGATTCTTGCTAAACTGGATTGCTAAAACTGAGCTCAGCAGATCAAGGTCAAAGCCTAGTGGTAAAGAGGAGCCTGACTAAAGTTGGTCAAAGAGGGAGTCTGTCATCACACGTGAGAGGAGGGACCAGGGCCTATCAGCCTGTGCCATCCCCTAGAGGGACCCGAAGTAGAGATGGCCATCCAGAGAGGTAGCCATTCAGTGGCCAGGCTGCCAGCATAGGAACCAGCCATGATGCCTGATGCTGCTAGTGCCCTCATGCACGAGACAGGAACTGGCTGGTGGTTAAACCTAGTCTTTATCGCAGCTTTAAAAGCATCAATCAACAGCTCTATCTCAGAAAAGACAAACACCTGAGAGGCCAGGCAATGTCCACAGAGAGAGTTGGGACAAAGCCCAGCTGGAGGCTGAATTTCCAGTTCCACCACTTTAGTGAGAGCCTTTCTAAAGGCAGAAGTGAAGACTGTCGATAAAAGGCAGGAGCGAGGCTGTTTGTGTGAGTTTTGATTAAGAAGCATTTTTCTGGAGAAAGCTGAGCAGGTATCTGCGTCTCCGAACCTGTGGTGTCAGTGCTAATTTATAATTCTCGCGTTTCTGCATTTTCTGCTTCCTTTTCTTAGCAGAGAACCTTTGTCCAACCACATGACCCTGACCAAAAAAGTCCACTTTCTCCCTGACTTTGTTCTCTGTTCCCACTTTCCCCTCCCCGGCCCTTCCTTGGCCAAATTCTACACTCACGTGCCTCCTGCTAAAGCCGTTTTTCAGACCTGGGGGACAATGGCTTTGGTGGCCAGGCAGAGGCCTCTGGACTTGCCTTCAGGTTCTGCTCCTTCATCTCTCCAAGTAATACGCAGGTTTTTTGTTTAACATTTGCTTAGCATTTACAATAAGCCAATAAGCACTGTTCTAAGTGCTCTGTGTAGATTAAGTCATTTAATCCTCAAGCATCCCAGTGGAGAAAATATTGGTTTCATGCCCATTTAGCAAATGAGGAAACCAAGGCAGAGAGAGGTGAATCAACTCATGAAGGGTCTTTCTGGGATTTCACGCCAGTCGGCCTTCAGGATCCTGTACCATTCATTGTTGCACTATGGAGAGGCTAGAGAAATTTCTAAGTCAAATTGCATTGAGTTTATAGAAATACCCCAAACTTTCTGGACATCGCCTTGAAAAGAGGTTGTTATGCAATGACACGCTGTTTTCCAGAAGACTCTCCGAACTCAGAACAAGACTTGGACAAGCTGGGGGGGAAGTCCCCACCGCCCCCTCCCCCGCCCCCACGACGGAGCTACCTGCCCGGATCGGGGCTCACCACCACCAGGTCCGGCGACGTGGTCTACACCGGCAGGAAGGAGAACAGCACCACTAAGGTTTGATGGGCGAAGCCCTGGTAAACTGGTTTCAGGGTTCAGATGATTGTCTTAGACAAGGTCCTGTACAGTCTCGTTTAGAGCGTAAGAAGTAGTGAGGCAGAGAAGAGAAGCAGAGACTCGAATGGGCGAAATCGCCAGGAAGCACCACAGATGGGAAAACGTCAGCCAGCGTTTTATCCTGACTGGACTTTTAGCTACAACTATATGAAACGCAAATCACAAGCTTCTTCCTCTACAGGGCATCATAAGATTGAAAACGGTGGGGATGGAGGTCGGGGGAAGAAGGGGAAGCCAAAGAAAGACCATCTCATAAAGGAAACCGAGGTTAGCTGACACCGTTGCGGGCGTCTGTCCCGAAAGATGCACAGTGAGCTCAAGCTTCCATTTAACTTGGCACATTTTGTCTTTTACGGTCAATGTAAAATTCGAGTTTCAAGGAGAGGTAGGATGGCAGGGCCTTCCTCAAAGGCACTGAATATTGAGGAGCTGCAATTTTATTATAATTCTTCGGTCCATTCACCAGAATGGTACCTCACATAAACAAAAACCCAAACTAGATGGCAGGTGGACAGAAGGGCCTTTCAGCTCGATTCGAAGGGCTAGGAAGCCAGTGTACTGGGCAGCGAGGGAACGTGTGTTCTCGTGGTCATTCCTTCTCTTGGCCAGTACCTGGGGGTGTTAAGCCAGTACCTGTGGTTTGAATCTTCCACAGGCCAGCAGTGAAGATGCCGGACCAAGCCCACAGGCTAGAGCCACAAGATGTCCAACAGAGGAGCCTGCTTCAGCCTGGACCCCGTCCCCACCACCAGTACCTGCTACCTGCTCCTCAAAGGATGAGGAGGAAGAAGAGGAAGGAGACAAAATAATGGCAGAACTCCAGGTAAGGGGATGAGCTGACCGACCGTGGCTCCCCGCCCTTCCCATCAGGGACTCCCGGCTGCGTCTCTCACAGATGCGTTCGCTGGCAAAGAGCCCGTGGGCCTGGGCCCCATAAGCATCCTCTCCCGGCCTTGGCCTCACCTTTTCAAGGATGTTGCTGAACTAGGCTCTCAGGACACCTTTAAGGTGTGTGTAAGGACCAGCCATTTCACAAAACGATTCAGGAAGTTTATACCAAAATCTGTTGCAAGCCTTCCTGGCTCTGGCTGGTGGGATTTACTTTCCTTCTTTTCAATTTTCAGTAGTCTCTGCTTCATTTCAAAAACAGTTAAAAGGAGATGAGAAACACCAGCTCTCATCTTGTCTCGATAAGGACTGATGAAAGCCCATGTCAGCTGAGGTCCCGTGACTTGGTTTTAATACTTAGAATGACTGACGCTGAGTCATGCGGCCTCCTGTACTTCATACCAGGTTCCCGGTCAGTGTCGATGTCATTTTTTCAGGTCTTCCAAAAAGCTGAATAATTTTGCTTCCCACTTTTTTAGATTTTTATTTCTTAACTAATTGCCACTGTCCACTCATAGATTTAAAGGTGGGATGCAGGGGCTATACCCAAAACTGATCCCACATTCAAATCACGGTTGTGAGTCTGCCCTGGACGTACCTTCTGAGACTTGACTAATAGAAGACATATACACAATTCCTAGACCGAAGTCTGTTTATAGAGTATTTCATTTTGACCCATGCTTATTACAAGATTTGTTTGCCCTTCCAGTGGTCAGACCACAACCTTCTTAGGGCTCTAAGACATGCTGCCTTTTCACTTGGAGTAGAACTTTCAAACCATGTCATTTCTACCTTTGCTGTCCTGCTCTGCTTTCCATGGTAATACCTGCCAGAGTGGAGCTGCTCGATTTTTAGGGAACACGGGGCTGCTAGTTGTCACATGCATGAGCCTTTTGAGCCTTACTGAAACTCACAGACTGGCCTGGGACATCCCCTCCACCAGTCAGATGATTTACAGGTTTTCTGAATGAGTGGAGAATTTCATTCATAAGAAACTTAGATTTATAAAGTTAGTGACTCGTAAAACAGTTGAGAGCATGGAAGCGTCCATTACGCAGTTTTCCAATGAAGATTGTCTGGCCGATGACGCTGCTGGGGGTTGGTACTTGTCCTAAGATGTGTAGCCAGATCCTGGGGCTATTTGTTGTAGTATCTGTCCTCAAATTATAGTGTGAATTGGTCCTGGACCAGTTTGGTTCAGATAAATGATGGAGCACTACATAATCTTAAATTGGTGCAAGGTAAATAATTACTAATAAGCAAAGCAGTAGAGACTTTGAAGTTTGTGAATAAACCTGCACTAGTCCCCTAAGAGTCGTAATTGAGTTGTTCCAGCCACATAGACCCCATCACTTGAGAATATTTCCCTCCATTGAAGTCAAAATTTCTTTGATGCTCTCTCTGAAATCTTTACAAGACCAGTGTATCTGGCTTCTCATCATCTTATTGTTAACAGTGATCAACGAAATGTTCTAACCATAATGTAATCAAACGCCCCTTTAGCCCTCCTGCTGGAGGGGACTGAACTGCTCCATCAGAAAGTCAGCCAGTGGCCAGGCTGGCTCCTTTGCCCCTTGCAGGCTCTAGAGTTAGACACCCCAGGAGTCAGGACAGGAAGCAACTGCAGCCCCCCAAGTATAATTGTGGAACAACTTTCCTGCTCCATATCACTGGGCATCAGAAGAAACCACAGACTTCCGAGTCCGGGGCCTGGCGGCCCAGTGGAGATGGCATATTGTCTTAGTGAGCGGAGACCTGGGCACCTCCAGGGCCAGCTAGGACTTGGGGGTCTGAGGGACAGCAGGTTGGATGTCGTGGCAGCAGGAACAGGCAGCCGGCAGAGATGTGGAAAAACAGGCTGAGGAAAGCCCGCGGCATCAGCTCCGTCCCACCTTAGGACCGAACGTGCTGAAATGCTCACTTGGGGAGGCCACGGGTCATTCTTTCCACCTGCAGAGTTAGTGCCAAATGACCATATTTGACGTCAAGAAAATATGAGAGAATGATTTGAGATGATTCGTTTAAATAAGTGGTTTGTAATCCCAGCTGCACGTTAGAATTACATAGGGAGGTTTTTTGTTTTTGTTTTTTAAGTCCTACAGCCTGGAGATTCTGACTTAATTATTCTCTGGATGAGCCGTAGGTAGCAGTATTTTTTTTTAAACCAGGAGTGATGTCGAAAACTTGTGCGCTCGGGTGGCCGTCTCTCATGCTCTCACCGTCACAGTGTCGCCCCTTTCTGCCCTGCGAGCCCAGCCCGTGCTTCCGCCGAGCGTTCACGCGAGTCCGTGTGGGCTCCTGTAACTATGTTCAGAGACGAGTCTAGGGCTCAGGCGGCACCGAGGCCACTCAGAATCTGAAGAGCATCGCTTTATTCTAAGTGAGCCTCGGAACACCTCAGAGCGTGAGGTGCGGGAGTGTACTTGTGACTATTCAGACGATGAATTCATGAGAATGACTTCGATTGGAAGGTTGAAAGGTTTGTAAGACCTGGTGCCCTTTTCTCTATAATTGAAAAAAAAATGAGTCTGGTAAAAAAAAAAAATAATGACAAAAAAAAAAGAAAGAGCTTCTTGTTTTGTTTTAATTCATTTGCAAATTCGATATTTTTGAGTGGTCAAAAGAAGAAGCCCTACTAAGCGCAAATGGGGTGCACCCTGGACAGGAAGAAAGGGTGTTCTCTCCGAGGGCTGTGTCTTTTTATGATGCTGTAACCCAGACGTCCGGGTGCTTTTGCCCCAGCCCTGCCCCCTTGCCAGCTTTGCCACCCTGAGGCCAACGGGGAGCAGGTTTTCGAGGCGCTGCCTCCCTGGCCCTGGCGTGACCTGCATGCAGGACGCAGCTGGGGTGTCCACGCCTCTGGATTGCTTCCCTGCCTGTCCCCTCCTTCCTCCTCTCTACACTTGGATTCCTGTTAACCTCGGTATTTTAATTCCTTAGGCATTCCAGAAGTGTTCCTTTACGGATGTAAATTCAAACAGTCACGCTGAGCTGTCCCGGGCTGACAGTCACGTTAAAGACTCTAGGCCGGGGGCCACAGTCTCACCCAAGGAGAAGAAGGTAACGTGGCACTTGCACGTTTGCCACACGGTGGGACAGCCCTTCTTTCCTTGCTGACACTAACACCGCTCCTGCACCTGTCTTCCGTGCCCTCTCTTTTTCCTCTCCCTTTTTTTTTATTAACTAATGGAGACCCAGCTTTAGGTTCAGATCAGAGACACCGGCCTGAGGTTTTCAGAGCAGATGTCGTGTTTCTGTGCACAGTATACAACAAGTATATGCAGAATTTAGGCGTTACCTTCCCAAACTAAAGAATATAGATCCCTTAAGATTTTCTAGAACAACTCTTAGAAAGAAAAGGGAGAGAGGGAGGGAGAGAGGGAAGGAGGGAGGGAGGGGTGGAAGGAAGGTGGGAGGGAAGGGGGGAATATCAACTCCTCGGAGACCATCAAAGAAGAGGGAGGGAGGAAGGAAATATGGAAGGAAATATGTAGCACTTTTTCTAATTTTTAACATGGCTTTTAGACCAAAAGCAGCTACATTAAAAATAGGTGAAAACCTCCGATTTCAGGATGAACACGCAGGATTGCGTTCCCGCCACCATCTCCAGGTGAACCTCATAGAAACACACATATGTGTATCTGCACATGTGTTCAAGGACACCAAACAGATTTTCTTAAGTTTTACAAATTCTCAAAGTGTCCCTTCCAAGAGAGTAAGTTTGGTATAGTTGCAGTGCTAATATACTTTGTGGCATTCAAGTGGCTTCAAAACAAATGTCCTGGCTCTGAAACAAAGTTCGCTGTCATTATTCAGTACTTTAGGCAAAGGACACGAGCCTGAATGTTTGAACTTCAACATTCAGTTACACCTAGAGCTTTTATGATTTGGGGACATAGAGACATCTTATTTGAATGAAGCCTCTATCCAAATTTCAAGATAAAAAAGCTTATCGTGACCAGTTCGAGTCCTAACATTTTTCACCAGGAACTTATATGTCGGATCTCAAAGGTTCTAGCTTTCCTTAAATAAAGTCAGACATATCTGCCACAATACAGCTCAGTCGCTACTCCATGTGGGTGCCTCGGCCCACGTGTAAGTAAGTTCAGTGAGGAAGCCGTAGTAGCATCACAGCCCTTAAGAGATGCAGTCCTGGGTCTTATAGCTCCCAGCCAGGAGGTCCTGCCCAGGAAGCGACCTGCTCCTCCCTGGCTCGCGGTCACCGTAGAGCCCTTGTGTCAGACGCGTCTGCCGCGTGGCTGACATGAAACCGTTAGCCAGGTGACACGGGATCTCTCTGTGAACCAAAGTAGATTATGAGATTTTTGTTGCTAAATCTTTCTCATGAAGAAAACCTCCTACTAATTTGAATCAAATCCATGACATCGCATTGGAAATATATTGCTTTTACAGTCTCTGGAATTTCCTTATATGGCCTTATTGAAACCAGCTAATGGGAAGGTTCTGGCATATCTGAGTTAAATGACGTACTTGGGTCAGTGTGACTATTTCTGTCTAAAACACTGGGAACTGGGAGCTTCTCAAGGATCCCTCTGGAGACCATCATTGTCTCATTGTAGAATTTTGCTAATTGGCTCAAAAGTTGCATGAGATTTCTTGTCCTTTGATTAAAAATCCTTACATATCCCATCGAGCTCATCTCAGTCAAAGGTCCATCAGATAATAAGCAGGTCTGTATTGAGTTGGCCCAAAACTGGGTTTAATCACAGGTGCTTATTCTGGATAATTACACTCAGAGATTGATCTTCATTATATCAGTATTAGACTTATAGGTGAGTATCATGTACAATATAGGTATCAGACTTGCCTCCAAACTTTGCCATTATTAACCTTTCCTGCGCTATTCATTTACTCTTTGAATCAAATGTTTTCTTAAAACGTTTCTCCTACTGTCATGAAGCATTGGCCTAGTACTTGACTTTTATGTAACTTTTCCTATAACTGTGTCTCTAATTTTGGTTTACTGTCCATATGCATATGAAGCCTGCTTCACCCGTTGTGTTTTCAATCCAAATCTCGGGGCCTATTAACAGATATTAATGAGGTTTAATTACCTTCCATGGAGTCCTGACTACCTAAGAAACATTGTGAGGTCACATGACATTTGTGACCTAGTTACCCCGAATCAAGTCAACGCACTTGCTTTGACACGTTGATTCTTCTTCCTGGCCCCGTGATAAAAACGGCAGGTCACGTGAAACTTAAACTTGACATCTTTATCTTAGCGATTTTCCATCGGAGTTTTCCTGCCACCAGATCTGTTTTAAAATACATATCCACGTGGTGGCATTTGAAATATTTAACGAGGGTATAGCATGGACCCTGACTAATCGGAACAGATGCCAGGCCTACGCTGCAGCAAGTAAGGCCAGCGAAACATCACCGTGGAAGTGTCTTCTTTAGATTATATGCCAGTTCCTTCTCTGATTTCAGGGTGAATTCTCACTCCATTCCCAACATGCCAACTCCATTACTTGGAGCTGAAACCTTCGGCCCAGACCTCACTTATTTTTCTTCAAACCTTTTACTTAGTATATTAGTTGTTTGATAATCTAAATTTAAAATCTCACCGAAGATGTTACATTGTCCAACTGCAGCAGCCGAACCACTGCACTTGTTTTGGGGGCCTCGCGGGGGCGAGGGGAAGTTCAACAGGTGGTGTTTGGTGGTGGATGCCCCTCACATCTTGTGCGATCTTTCCACGTAATTAATAGTGACTTCGTTCTTTGTGTGTTAGTCCTTGAATGCGTATATCCACATTCTTTCCATTTGTAGCTGGGGCGGCAGAATTGCTCTGGGTTGACTCTGGTGGGGCCCGGGTTATTGTGCTTTGTCATGTTCTCGTTGCTTTAACCAAAGCGCCTTCTTGGAATTTGTGTCCCATCCTGCTGGGATCGCCTCTTTCCTCTTGGGCTTCTGCAGCAAGGAGAAAGGACAGCAGAGCCTTGGAAATGGCACAGCGAGGCACGGCTAGGGTTAGTGTTGCTGCAGGGCCCTGGCTGCTGCCACAGCCGTGTGGAAAAAGCCACACTCCTTGGTGGAGGGGGCCCTTTTCGTTCCCGACCCTCGCTGCTGGGCTCGCATGTTCCGAATCTTTGTGAGAGCCTCAGAAATGTGTCTTTGCTTTGCATCGGAGGGTTTAGAGAACACAGTATGAATTATGATGCCACTGTCACCATTCTAGCCTCGAATATCTGTTTCGTAAATGTTTAGATGATTTTTTGGCAGCATTAATCACACTGAATTCGGATTTGATCATCTCGGCTATTATCAGTTTGAAGGCTATTTGACACTTTCCTTGGCAAGTGCAAATACAAACTTCAAGTACCTTTCAGTCTGTCATTTGACCAGGGAAAAAGACTTTTTTTTTGCCATCTCAAAGTACTACACCCAACCAATGCAGATGTCCTTATAGGAAGGACACTTTCCATTGAAAAAAACTGAAATAAGTATCAGGAAGGGACATAAAAACAATCTGGTCTTATTCCTCGGTTTATAAGCAGGAGAACAGAGGCCCAGAGAAGTGAAACGACTTGCCTAACGTAACACAGTTAAGTGGCAGGTCTGGATTAGAATCAGAATCTTCTGCCTGCTGATGGATTGTGCTTTCTACAATGCCACACCATTCTCCTGGTTTTCGATTCAGCTCAGCTCACTATCAGATGTTGAAAAGAGGATGTTTTTGTACAGAATCGGTCCCTTTATTCTCTAACTGCTCCCCCTCTCCGCCCCCCCCAAAAATTTGAAATTCTCGAACTATTTCGCTAATTGGGATTTTCATCTCGCGCAAACACAGGGCATTTTTGGAAGCTGGCAAATGCAGCAGCTCACGGTAAACAGAGCTGCAGGCTTTGGACTGGTGCGTAACAATGTGCTTGGCCTGCGTGTTTCAGAAGCGTGTAATTAAAGGAACAATTTAGGTATAATCCACTTTGGGGTGGGAGGGATGTGGTTTTGTGGAGTAACATGTCCTACACTGTTCTACCAGAATTTGGAATTTTTCCATGAAGACGTACGGAAATCTGATGTTGACTATGAAAATGGCCTCCAAACGGAATCCCGAAAGGTGAGTTCGTCAGATCTGTGTTCCAGCTGATACCGTGCGGATTCACGCCCTTCCTTTGCAGATCCGGTTCCGATTAACGCGTGTGGTTTCCCTCCTCCACTGTCTCTCAGGTTACTGCGGGGGCCCTGACACCTCGCGACCGTCCTCAGTGGGAAAGAGGAACAGAGAATCGTGTTTCTGACGCATCGAGAGCATCAGAATGTAAAACCGACATCGTAGTGAAGGAAAATTACGTATCCAATAAGAGTTTACTTAAAGACGGTAGAAACTATTCCCCCAAAAATGTGTCTAAGGTCGATTCCAGTGTCCCTGGCATGAGTTCATCAGAAGATGAAGTAAGCAAAGGCCCTAAGCGCTCAGGACTGCAGTACCCTATGTCCGACGCCGAGAATCAGAAAATGAATTGTGGGAACACAAAGGAGATAAGTCAACAAGGACAAGAAAATACAGATAAGGGTCACCTTCCTTCTCCCACTAGATCAACCGAATTGGGTAACTGCGATGTCAAAACTCAAGATCAAGGGGTCCCGGTGACGGAGTTGGGTCAAGTTGTGCTAAGACCCAAGGGGGCTCGACATGCTAATATGAAGCCTTATGAGGACAGAGACTCAACCCCAAGTTCTCCCACTGAAGAAAACGCGCCCGCAGACAACATCGCCTTCATGATCACCAGAACCGCGGTCCAGGTTCTCTCCAGCGGGGAGGTCCGCGACATAGTGAGCAAAAAGGGAGAGGACGTGCAGACGGTGAATATCGATGCCAGAAAAGAGACGACTTTCCAGCAAGAAGGGCCTGAAAATGAAGAGCCGGTCGTGCGCCTGGACAAGAAACCAGTCATTATCATTTTCGACGAACCCATGGACATCCGGTCTGCGTACAAGAGACTTTCAACCATATTTGAGGAATGCGATGAGGAATTAGAGAGAATGATGACAGAGGAAAAGATAGAGGAGGAAGAAGAAGAGGAAAATGGAAATGCTGCCGTACAGAAGAACGGCCCCCCACAATTCCCGAAGGTGGCCCCAGGCAGCCCAGGATCAGGACTGAGAGCTGGGAGTCAGCGACAACCGCATGTCCCCTCAGCAGAGACCGAGGCACCAGGAGGCCAGGAAAGGAACAAGCCCGAGCTGACCACGTGCAGCCCAGCAGACTCTCCAAGCTCAGAGAGCAAGTGCGACGTGACAGATGACCAATTTGAAAGTCCCAAGAAAAAGTTTAAGTTCAAATTCCCGAAGAAGCAGCTCGCCGCCCTCACTCAAGCAATTCTCACAGGAACCAAAACGGGGAAGAAGACCCTGCAGGTGGTGGTCTACGAAGAGGAGGAAGAAGATGGCACTTTGAAGCAGCACAAGGAAGCCAAGCGATTCGAAATTACTAGGTCTTCTCAACCCGAAGACGCCCCCCAAAATATGCTCAAGAGACAAGAGCAGCCCGGTCTGGAGAACACATCGCCCATTTCAAGAACCGATGAAATTAGGAAAAACACCTACAGAACGCTGGACAGTCTGGAGCAGACCATCAAACAGCTTGAAAACACGATCAGTGAAATGAGTCCAAAAGCCCTAGCTGACACCTCGTGTTCTTCCAACAGAGATTCTGTTGCCAGCTCATCCCACTTGGCCCAGGAGGCCTCCCCCCGATCCTTGCTAGTTCTGGAAGAAGCTCCCACTGCCCTAGAACCCCCCTCGTCGATACCTTCAGCGTCACGTAAGGTATCTTGGTCTGATGGAGAATGAAAAGACCCAGCTGCTTTCTTAAATCTGCCATAATCACCATTAGCAAAAAGGCGTCTTGTGATTTACTCGCTTCCTTTTAGGTGGCTCGTGTTTTTGTTGTTGTTTTTTTTCCTTTTCCTTTTTTTTTTTTTTTTTTGTCTGTTCGCCACGATACCTTTCTCTCACCATTTCTCCCTCACCTTCAAAACAACAACAACTAGGTGTCTAACAGCTAATCAGTTCTGTGTTTACCTCTGTTGCTGACTGGTGTTGGGTAAACGCAGGGGTGCTGGGTCATCCATTTGCCGTTGACCTCTGATACTCACATTAAAATCCGTCGGATCAGTAGTGGAGCAGTGTATTCTGTTTGATTCTTGGAATTAACCACGGTGGTGTCTTCTGATGTCCATCTTCTAGGTCTGTGCTGCATGTAGGGCTGTGGCTTCTCACGTTGAGCTTCTCTGCACACGGTGGGGCGGCCTTGGTGACAGTCCACTAACGCGCTGCCCCATCTCTTCCCCTCTCGCTGTCCCTTCCCACAGGGCTCCACTGGGACCCCACAGACCAGCAGGATGCCCGTCCCCATGAGTTCCAAGAACAGACCCGGAAGCCTGGACAAACCCAGCAAGCAGACCAAACTGCAGGATCCCCGCCAATATCGTCAGGTAGTTTTACCTTAAACCCAATTTTGGATGGACATTTTCAGTTAAGAAGCAAGTCACTGACCTAGTTGATACCAAATATTGTGTTTTTCCTTGTAAGCTATGGTTTACATAGACATCCTGGATCTGGGGGCATGAAGAAAGTCTAAAAAACCTTTGTTGAACTTCTCACCACGCTTTTGCATGCTTGCAATAAAAACATCTTTTACTCCGTGACTCCAAAGTTTAACCGTTAACACAAGCGGCCAGACCAGCCGGCTTGTCTTTGGTGAAGGGAGTGGTTCATCAGAACACCTGGGGAAACCGAGCCAGACAAACCTGTTGTCGAGCTGTCCTGAAAGTCACCCGCACTAACGTATATGTCAACCGCGTTGCATTAGAGGCACATTAACCCTCCGGCGCGCTGCCCCGCCCCCGCCCCGTAACCACCCAGAGGCGTGGCTGACCCAGCACCGGAAATGCTCTTCCTTTTTTTCCTGTTCTGCACATCCTCTGCTCTGTACTTTGGGGGTTTCCGCCAGGTCCAGTACAGCACAGCAAGACTTAGCTCAGGCCTTGAACTCGTTTTGGTTTGGTTTGGTGTCTTTTAATTGAATTATTCTCAGGAGGGCTGTGTTGCCAGACCCTGTGGAACGATCGTGTTACCAGCTTTCTGACAGACTGTCTCCCGCCATCTTTGTTCACAGGCTAATGGAAGTGCTAAGAAAGCTGGTGGGGACTGTAAGCCTACTTTCCCCTCCTTACCTGCTTCTAAGATTCCAGCCCTTTCTCCCAGCTCTGGGAAAGGCGGGTCTCTGCCCTCTGCTAGTGGTGACAGCTCTAACCTCCCTAATCCAGCTGCTTCTAAGCCATCGGCTACCTCTAACCCTCTCAGCCCCCAAACAGGACGGTCTGCTCCCTCTGCCTCCCTCATTCCCTCTGTCTCTAATGGCTCCTTAAAGTTTCAGAGCCCCACTCACACAGGTAAAGGTCACCATCTTTCATTCTCACTGCAGACTCCAAATGGCCGAGCAGCCCCCCCTTCCTGCTCCTCCTCCCCTCCCTCCCCTGCCTCCCCCACTTCACTGAATCAGGGCGCCAAGAGTATCAGGACCATCCATACTCCTAGCCTCACCAGCTACAAGGCACAGAATGGAAGTTCGAGCAAAGCCACCCCATCCACAGCAAAGGAAACCTCCTAAAGGCCAAATTCTATTAGGCACAAGTTGGAGTTACAGTTAAAGATTCAAAAAAAAAAAAAAATTTAACAGACTTCAACAACTGTTTCCACAAGAGAATGTAACATATTGCTGTACTGTTTGAGGCTTAATGCTATGTATGTGTGAAATACTGGATTAATAGATTTCAGAAAAGCTTATTCGTTTGTTTGTTCTTTTACTTTGTTGCTGTTGTAATTACATAGTGTCAACTGTTTATATTCAATACCTGTTAAATGAAGAAAGCACGTGTTACCGAAAAAGAGTATGAGAGAATACGACGAGAGAAAGGTGTGTGTGAGACAGGAAAAAATGTATTCAGCATGTAAAACATGTACGATTCCAGAATTTTAGTATGTTTTGTATAAAAATATTTTTCATTACGGAGACTAGAACTGAACAGAGAAATACACAAGTGTGACTATACAAATTGTAAAACAGATACTATAATATTTCCTTTTATTTTAGTGTTATTTAGCTTTATTACAGATTTCTATTTTTGTCAAAACTTCATGGTTCCTTTCAAGATCTTTTTTGCCAAGACATTTTGATACTATAGCGTTGTACATTTGAAAGTAGTGTGCTAGACAATAAGCCAATGAACTTCTGCACAAGCCAACACAGAGGCATATGTAGAAGGCAATTTATCAAACCAATTGCACTGCCATGAGAATTATGTATAATAATTTGCCAGCCCAAGCAAGCTAGTTTTCTTTGCTTTTCTTCCTTTCTTTCTTTCTTTTTCTTTTCTTTCTTTCTTTCTTCTTCTTTTTCTTTTTCTTTTTCTTTTTCTTTTTTAACATATTGGGATTCTCTAGTTATTTTCTTTGCAGTGTCTAAACCCTTTCTTTGATTTCTGAGACCTGGTAACCCACGCTATTGCATTGTGGATTTTAAAATGTACACTTCTGTACGGTTCTGTAAACTGACAAACTTTTGTAAATATATAAATAGACATAAAAATATCGTATGTGACAGCACACAGTAGTTTTCCCACACCAAAGTTAATTTTTATGCATGCTTTAAAAACATATATTGGGATGGGCAGAAATGGGACTATCCCTACATTTTTAAAAAAGCAACAAGTTTGCACAGCTAGAGTGTTTTTGTAAATAAATGTATTTGTATAACACAGTCATGTAATATACAGAACTATAAGCAGAGACTTTGCAAAACTAAATAAAGGGCTGCATGCTTATTATTTTTTGGATCTTGTCACTTATAGCTACTTTCTAGTCAAAGAAAAAAAAAATGCAACTGTTACCAGGTTAAATGGTTTTGGCTTTGAGGACATTATAAATAACATGTAACCAGCCGCAGCCGGTTTTCTGAAAGCTGTATTTCTCTGAGCACTCTGGGGTGACCCACAATGAGTTCTTGATGATTGAGGTGCCTTCCGACGCAGCGTGCTGACTCTCTTCTCTGTGGCGTATCAGGGTTTGGCTAACAAAAAGCAAACCTGGGTACAGTTTCCCCCCCAGAGTGTCTCTTACTTCCTCTTTCCTGTTTAAATTTCCAGTAGAAGTAAAGCAGAAATAAAATGTCTTTTTCACTAGGAATTATTTTTTTTTATTTCTCAAAAATTTATTTCTAAAAAATACTGTTGGTCTAGAGAAAAATAATGCTAGTGACATCACACTTTGTTGTCCTTTAAAAAACAGGGATAAAAGTTTACGAAAATAATGCCGAGATTATGAATTGACGACAAGAACAACCTCAGGAACCTGCTTATCATTCATTTTTTGCCTCCCAAGTATTTAATTTGATGGTTTGATGTAAAGTGCAAATATTCTTAATACCTTTAGCACTCACTGGGTTGTTAGTGCTTACAGCCTTCGGGCTTACCGAGCTGGCATGCCTCTGCCAGAAATAATTGATCATATCTCTACTCGTTACAGTAATTGTAATCACGTTTCAGGAAAGTTATTATCTTACACCTTTTAGGTATAAAAGTTTCCACCATTTCAATCATGTCCCATAATCGACTCGACAACTACACTATATTAAAAGATATATACCAGCTAGCTAATTCATGCCAGTTAATTTGCTCCTGTTTGTGCACAAGCCGAGACTTCTTGGTAAGCAGCTATACAATAGGTTGTGGCTCAGGTGTCCAGTTTAACTTGAGACTTCCCAGTGCTCAGGCAGGACATACAGGTGATGGTCAGTGTCAGCCAGTGGAATGAAGGAAAGAACATGCCGTGCCTGAGACCCAGCAAAGGGCAGCAAAGGGCAGCCTGCCTCCTGGGGGAAACTGGAACCGAGAAACCGTGTAACTGCAGAAGCCCAATCAGATGTGTGCAGCTCCCTGTGACAACGCTTAACGAAAAGCTCCCTTAACATCCAAATGGGTGACGCGAGATGGGATGAGCTGCTGGATCTTCAGATTTTGTTAAAGTGCTATTAGCAGACTTACTTAGTACATTATCTTTTGTGCTCATCTCTTGACTTCCAAATTCTTGTAGCTGAAAAAGATTCTTAGAACTAAACCCCGGGGGCTGCTCAGGTTCACTCAGCAGTCCAGAATCAGTCCTGCCTGCTGGTCATGAAACCTTGAACATGGCTCGGTTTCCTCACCAGTTAACGGAGAATAACAATATGACCTGCCCCATAGGATTGTTGGAAGGATTAAATGGGATGTCTAGAAAATTTCAAAGGTAGAGCCGGGCATACATCACGCCCTCAGGAATGGTTAGTTAAGGTGGTTGTCACCATTCTCACTGCTGCAGTGATGATGGGACCCTATTCCCTCCCTTAAGAGGCTCCGGGTCCAGTGGGGAGGGGGCGGCGCGGGCGCGGGCGGGCGGGGGAGTCGACGAGGCAGGTGGTTTCATGGAGGCGATGTTGGTGTTTGGCCCTCGCGGGTTCTAATAGTGTTGCAGCACTGAAGAGGCTGCTTTTTCTTGGCATGCTACTCGTGAATGGAATTCTTTCCAACGTAAAACAGAAGTGTACGCAGACCTGGAACAAAGCCAGGGCCCTGGAACCACGGGCACGCAAGCGTGGTCCTTTCGTGGGGTTGCGGTTCCAGGCTTGGGAGGTGCACCCAAATCACCCCAACCTAGTCGCCTCCGGCGGCGCAAGGGGGAGCTGGTGCCGGTCCCCGAGCCAGTGCCAGGGGCAACACCTGTGAGGAAAAGCGGGCCCGTCCGCCGGGCGCCGAGAGCGGGTGTGGCCGCTCTCTCCCCTCCCCGCAGCCAAGTTCATGGCAAACGCGGCGCTGCTGACTGCCCGCCCTGTCATCGGAACTGGCTTCCTCCCTTCTCCAAGGCTCTGTACATGCGAAGGCATTTGACAGCCACTTGGAGCTTTTTGGGAAGGAGTAGAGAAATGACAGTTGCTTCTACCCAATACCCAAAAGGTGGTTTTGTCAACGTAAGCAGGTGGCATCGTTCGGGAAAAGGCCACTGGCCGCAGGCAACCGTGCACGCTCTGATCTATGCTCCTGCGGAAATAACGTCCAGAAACAGTAAGGTGATCACCAGCATTTTTGAGGAGAGGATCCAGGCCGTCCAGGGCGCTTGGCCACCCAGCTTCAAAGCCACCATAGAGGCCGAGGGTCACCAGCTTCTGCTTCCCCCGCGCCCCGAAATGGCTCCCTCTAGCGGCACCCATGCCTCCAGATCGCTCTGCACACCGCCCGTTTTTCAGTCCCTCTTTTGGATTTCTTTAAAGGCTTTACAAACATAAATTCCATATTAAACGAAATTAAGGTCCTTTTCTATTGACAAAAGGCAATAGGGACCAATCCTGCACCTTTCCCAATCAAAATACTTCTGCGGGCAGTAGGAACACAAATGATCCAAAACGGCGTGCGGCAGTCCTGCCATTCTGTCTGGCAAAAACAGTGTTAGAGTAGATCTGAGATTACAGAGAGATTGGAGATCTCGGATTCCTTAGATGTATAAGGAAAGCAAAGTTCATCTTGGACCTGTTCAGTCTCCTTTCTAGGGTCTCGCCCCTTTTCTGATTGTGTGCTCAAGGGACTAGATGAACCAGTTCCCGAGTCTGGGGCCTGGTTTCTCAGCTAGAAAAGGGCCTTGCGGGCATGGTCCCTGCCCTGTCCACTTCCTGAACCTTGAGGAGTGCTTTTTGCTGTGCCATCAGCTCCATTAAACCACGGTAAAAGGGTGTCTACAAGAAAGAGCTCATCACCTGGAAATGGAATCAGGGAAGGAAACTTGCAGGAATAAATAGTTCATAGTATGGTGATTGCAGTCAACATTCTTCGTTTCCACAAATGAACAAAGTCCCACAGTGGAAGGGGCCTTGCCAGGTCTGACACACCTTACAGGACCTGACAAAGAATGTCCTTTCACTGAGTGACCCCAGAAAGGTCATGACTTCCTTCTGCCCTTTCTGGCTAAAATTCCTCAAAGGAGGCAAAGCAGGATCTGGCTGCTATCTGCCCTTGGTCTTACTCAAAACACCTGCCTCATCACTCCCTGTGTTCCTGCCCTGTTGTCTGTTCTGCCCATCAGACAAGCCAGAGCCAAGAGGTGCTTCTTCTGCCTGGAATATTCTCTTCGAAGAAACCTGGATCAGGAACCTGGCTATGGTCACCATCTACTTCATAGCACTTAGGCGGGTCTGAAGTATATGGTGGGATGAGGTGGCCAATAAAAATTAATAAATACAGGAATTAGATACACCCAGAAGGGCCCATAGCAGGACCTGATAAAAAACATGAAAGATCATGCTCTTCTGTGGAGACACAGGCTGGTGGAGGGGGAGTGAGGGGCGGGGCTCACATGGTTCCTGCTACTCACATCATCCAGAGCTAAAACATTGCTACCTTTAAGATTCTGCAGTATTTTAAGAACAACTGCTTACTTGCTGCCACCTGGTGGTCATTTCTGGAACTTCCCCTAGGAAACTATTGCAAGCCCTGCTCACTAAACCTCTCAACCTCTTTCATCTTGGTTTTTGCCACAGTTGTAAAAATGTGCAACGCACCAGCAATATGCAGCCATGGCCCTGGACAGATGGGTGAGGCAAGTGGCATTTGGTCTCATCCCAGGGACTCTCAGAATTTCTACCTCCCATCATTCCTATTTGGGGGGAAAGTGATGATACACGAAGGCACAGGAAAAGGACCGTTTCCTTCCAAGCTCTTTAGGGTTATCAGAAGAGGGCAACATTTAATCAGAGGGTTGAGCGTCCAGGGGTGGAGTTCCAAGTATCGGACGGCAGAACCGTATGGATCGAATGTTGGTGTCCGCCCCTCACTGCATATGTCGTCATCCTAACCCCCAACATGATGGGTTTTGGAGATGAGGCCTTTGGGAGGTAATGGAAGTTAGATGAGGTCGAGACATCGAGGCCCTCGTGATGGGATTGATGCCCTGCTAACAAGGAGACACTCAGAGGGGGGTGCCTGCAAGCGAGGAAGAGTGCTCTCGCCAGAGCCTGACCACACTGGCAGCCTCATCCGGGACCACGGCCTCCAGAGCCGTGAGACATAAACATCTGTTGTTGAAGCTCCCCGTGTGTGGTGTGTGTTACGTCAGCCCGAGCTGGTAAGACAAGAACTGGGGCGGAATCCCCTGGGAACTCATTCCCTTGGCCAGTCCCTTCCAGACAGCCCACCGTCCATTTTGCTGTGGTCGCCACGAATTTGCTGTTTCATTTCTACTTGTGGAATTTTTGGAAGACGTATTTCCATCCACTATAGGGGGTGAGGGAGCTAGAGGCTGTAAACACGTGGGTAAAGAAGGAAGCCACGAGGGGTCCTGACTCAGCCGAGCTAACCAAAGCAGTGGTTCGAATTCCAAGCCACGCGGCCCCTACTCTACACGTGGCAATTCACCTGGTGAGGAATTTATACGTATCCTAGTTATCTTTACACCTGTTAGAATCAACAGATCATTCCAGGCGCATTGTAATAAAATCCAAACCCTTTACCAGGGCCTGCGGAGCTGTGCTGTGCAGCTCCTGCTGACCCAGCCTCCTAGTGACTCTGCAGACACGTTTCGCCTGATGAGTGAACGCAAAGACACGACCCGTTGGTATCCGTAACTCCCAGCTTGTGAGTAGCTCTTCTTGTCCCCCAAAGTCACATGAGAACCATGGAGGAGATATGCAGAATTTTCTCCTATAACAAAGAGTCGTGTTCTACCAACAACAGGTGGAGAAGTTCCGCCTTGGCATCCTTTCAAGGTGCAGCTGTCAGTACTTCCGCCCGTCGGTCCTTCCGCGGTC